GAGAGAGATAGAGAGAGACAGAGAGAGACAGAGAGAGACAGAGAGAGAGACAGACCACAGGCAATCCATTCTACACAAGAAAGTTATAGTGGATTATAGTTTATAGTAGATTAATGTTGGAATATGTGGGATTGCCATATTTGATTACAAGCAACGTATTAATTTCTAAATTTCAGGGCTTTCCATGTCCAAGGCTTATGATGCTGAAAAAAATAGTCATCAGCTACTTTTGTGTTCAGACAAAATATATAAAGCAATTTACATTAACAGGAACATGTTATTTAGATTATGGGAGATAATAATTTCCCAGTTACTCTGCAGAAATTACACCATGCTTGGAATACTATGTCCACTTCTGAACATTATACAGGAAGTCTTTGTTTAGTGACACAATTGGGACCAGCAAATTGGTCATTAAGGAAAGTGATTGCTAAATAAAGCTACAACTGTATTTATGATCTTACTTCAGTTTTCCTTTGCTTTACAGACTTTACAAAAGTCATAAATATGAGGATTTCTTTTAAAGTTATTTTTTCATCGTTGTCATAACTATGAACAGTTGCTAAACAAATCACTCACTAAACCTGTATTTTAAAAGGAACATGAAGAAAGTGGAATGAATTCAGAAATCTATCAGGATAGTAAAAGGTCTGAAAACCAGGCTCTGCAAGACATAATTAAGAAGATGGACATGTTTAAATGTCTATGGAGATTCTCAGTCATACAGGTCAAGGTTGTCCCAAAAGTGCTTTTTCAAGAGGCAACTGGACTTTCTGATTTTCCTTTGAAGATGGTTTGCTTCTCATCCAAGAAGCTTCTTCAGCTGAAAAAGCTTCTTGGATGAGAAGCGAAACTTCTTCAAAGAAAAAACCAGAAAGTCCAGTTGCCTCTTGAAAAAAACACCTTTGGACATGTTTAGCTTTCAAAAGAGAAGACTGCAGGGAGATATGATACTTTGAAGGGTGTGTGTGTGTGTGTGTGTGTTTACACTTTAATTGAAGAAACATATGGTGCCAAGAAAGAAATACCATGAATCCATGTAATGTGTTGCTAGTTATAACAAGAATAGAAAACTGATGATACACCAGATGTTGCTAAATTATACACCCAGCGCTCCTAAAAAAATTGTGGGTAATGGCAAGAATGCTGGGAGCTATCTTTCAGCAATATCTGGAGAGACTGGGGTTGTCAATCATGTCCCTACACCAATTAAATTGTAATATTTCCTGAGTAATTTTAAATCAGTTCCTTTCGCTCACTCGCATTCACCTCACAGGATTCTTGTGAGAATAAAAGAACCAAAGTCATTGCTTGAGCTTCATAAGAAGAAAGTGGGCATTCATATAGTACACCCACTGGAACAGGTGATAAAAATAACCACTGAAAAACATGCATAGGCAAGTTAATGTAAATAAGGACTGTGTAAAATTAAACACCAGTCCTGTGGAAATAGTTGCATTAGACTTAATATATATACTTATGCATCTGAAAAATGTGATAATTTTTCCTACAATCAATTCCTTCTTTTTAAAGGTTTTTATAAAAAGAATTACCATTAGCACATTACTGTAACCTCTGAATCCAAATAGTGAGTTTGAAGTTTTCTATCTTAGGCATCTCATTTCAGCCTGTTCTGGTAAATTATTCATCCTATTTATTGTCAGCTGTCAAAAGCTATGATATACATAAAATAACTGATAAATACATATATCAGAATTTGCCTAAAATCCACCTGCAAGAAAACCAAGAATTGAACTGCTGTTTAGATATATCTTTCTAGTTCAGCGGTCTGCAACCTTAAAACACTCAAAAAGCCATTTGGACCTGTATCCCACAGAAAAGAAAACACCGGGAGCCACAAAACCCTTCCCGTGCCTATTTCTTGAGCGGCCACAAAACTAGCATATGTAGTTGAATTAAATGTTCTGTTTTCTTCTGAAACTTTTCTTTTCTTGGATTTATCCATGGTTGGCCTACCAGGGTTTGAAAAGCTCAATAAATCATGTGCTGGTGGATGTCGCCCATTGGCAGTTGTGACGCTTATTTTGAGTGACAGGGAGCCACAGCAGAGGGGCGAAAGAGCCACATGCGGCTCCAGAGCCGCAGGTTGCTGACCCCTGTTCTAGTTTAACTTCTGAGACACTATTTATTATGAAAATTCCAGTTAATATTATGCCTATCAGAAATACAGGTAGTCCTCGACTTACAACAGTTCATTTAGTGACTGTTCAAAGTTATAACAGCATTAAGAAAAGTGCCTTATGACTGTTTTTCATACTTATGAGCATTGCAGCATCACCATGGTCACATGATAAAAATTCAGAAACCTGTCAACTGACTCATTTATGACAGTGGCAGTGTCCTGAGGTCATGTCACCTTTTGAGAGCTTCTGACAAGCAAAGTCAATAGGGAAACCAGATTCATTTAACAACCATGTTATTAACAACTTGTGATTCACTTAACATTGGTAAGAAAGATAAAACAGGGCAAACTCACTTAACAAATATCTTGCTTAGCAATAGAAATTTGGGCCTCAATTATGGTCGTAAGTCGAGACTACTGTATATGCTTATAGAGGATACTGCTATTTCCAGAGTTCAAAATTGTTGCATCTGGCTTCTTTGTTCTAAGAAATGTACCTCTAGGACAGTAGTGTCAAACTTGATTTCATTGAGGGCCACATCAGAATTGTTTGACCTCGGGGAGGCAAGGGTGGGTGTGGCCAGGGTGGGCGTGGGTGTCACTCATGCCAGAGGCGCCTATGAGGCCAGAGCGTTGTGCCAGCAAAAACGGGCTCCTGAGCTCCATTTTTGGCTGTGACAGCTTCCTGCAACTCTGTGCCAGAGAAAGCGGAGCTCAGGAGGGCTGTGGGCGGACCTCCTGAGCTTTGTTTTCATTGGCAGAGGCACCACGGGCCAGTCCTTTGCTGTTTCCAGGACAGCCCCGCGGGTCAGATCTAAGCATCCTGCGGGCCGGATCCAGCCCCCAGGCCTTGAGTTTGATACCCCTGCTCTAGGATAAAGCAAATTATGTGCCTACTGAAAATATAGCATTTTTATTCTTCTATAAAAGTGGTCAGAACTGATGTCACTAAATCCTATATTTTCGGGATTATCTTTAACTTCACAAATGAGCTAAGATTGGAATGGAGGATTTTCTCACAACTCGCTCTCCTGGCAAGGCAAGCATCAGCTCCCATTGTTATTCTTCAGTATCTGCCTGAACAGATACAGCTGTTATTCCATTCTATGTGCTGTAGTTTCACCCTGGACCCCATGATTTCTCCTTGGGGATGGCAGATGGACATTCCATCTGATTGTCATTCCGCTTATGGATCTGTCATGTATTTGCCATCCCGCTCCAAATGCTCAATCCTGCTGGTTCCTATGACAACCTACATATCTTTCTATTGTTTCTCCAAGGTCCCCTTCCTGTAGTTTTTATTTCTATTTTTCTCTTTGTCTGTCAAACTTACTTCCTACTTTTCCTTTCGGCATGCCACTGCCTCCACCATTCTTCTATTGTTCTATATAATCCATTGCTTTAATTAGACAACCCTTCTCATCTGCAGAAATTCCACTTCAAAGCTGTATTTTCTCTGAAAAACCTTACACCCCAGGAAGGAAGTACCCCTGGGAAAGGCAAGTTGTTTATTTTGTGTTGGCCAAAAGCCATACCCGTTGGAGTAAAGGCCTTGTACATATAGAATTCTGTCCTCCCTGTTTATTTCTATTGCCTTTCAGATTTGGTGAGAGCCACCCTGTTGCTATTTTTTCATCCCTTTTTGCGCTAAAAGTAGATTTGGACTGAGACAATGCTCACAGCTTTATTTCTTATAGCTATAGAAATTGTGGCAGCACATGAGTTCTTCAGATTTTATCCTCACTAAAATATTATAAAGGTAGGCTAGGTAGAAAAGGATTCCGGCCCAAGGGCGATGAAATGTTTATCAAGACTAAGCAAATATTTCAAACAAGTTATCATAATAGTTCAACATTCAACAGATGCAGATGTCCTTAACGCTTTACTTCCGGGATAGACCTGAATAATTTCTGCCTGTGCATGGAACAAAGATAGTAGCAACTCTGCCTTCCTGAAACAAGTCCGCTCTGATCTCCACATAGAGCAAAATGAAGTAAGAATGAGCTACACTATGTATACATTTGTAGAATCTGCATGTGTGTTTATGCGTGAGAGAGATTTTTAATCCTACACTGTAAGAATATACATCTAATTCCATAACTCTAAGTACCTAGCAAGTTTCCAGCAATAGCCAGCCTCGCTGGCGTTGTAGTCCTCAGCTCACAAAGGCAGATTTTGCTACTTGTTTTGCACCCGGAGAATTAAAACCGTCCTATCTCATCCACAATCTGAAGCAATTCAGTCTTACAAACCGTAATTTTGAAAATAAACTATAAGCAACATCGCCCAAGGAAGACTTGTTCAAAAACAAATGCAAGGAAGGGAAAAGGAGCTCTGCTCATGCTCAGAGAAAGAAGCCTAAGAGGTTTGCCAAATGTTTTCCTAACTCAGGGGCTCTGAGACGGCCAAATACCCAGGTGGGAGCCAGTCCACCCCGGGGGTTTCAGGTGGCCAAAAGGCTGCGCAAGCGTATTTCCCGACTTCGCCCCCCTCTCTTTCACACACACACACACACCAATACACACACACACAGAGAGTTTCGCCCTCCCTAAGGCCAGATGGCAACTCGAGGGACCGGGGCTGGCGAGCTTTTGCTTTCGAGTTCCCGGAACCAGCCTTTTCTCACGCGCTTCCTGAGACACCTGCTCCTGCGGGCTCCGCCTCGCTCGCCGCGCCTCCTGCTCGTTTCCTTCGCCCGAGGTAGAGCCGGACGGCGAGGGCTGAGGACGGGAGGAGGGGACGGGCAAGGAGGGGAGGAGCAGAGCCGAGGGCGGGAGTCAGTGCCGAGCCGAAGATCGCTGAGTGGGACGGAGCCGCGGCATTTGTCGCGGGCACCTTGGCGGGGAACGCAGCGCGCGGCGGCGGCGGCGGCGGCAGCAGCAGCAGCAGCGCGAGGTGGCGAAGGAGTAATCTCGGCCCGGGCGCGCCCCGCTCCCCCTGAATGACGGGCGGCAGGTTCGACTTCGACGATGGCGGCACCTATTGCGGCGGCTGGGAGGACGGCAAAGCCCACGGGCACGGCATTTGCACCGGGCCCAAAGGGCAGGGCGAGTACGCGGGTTCGTGGGCGCACGGCTTCGAGGTGGTGGGCACTTACACCTGGCCCAGCGGCAACACCTACCACGGGTATTGGGCGCAGGGCAAACGCCACGGGCTGGGCGTGGAGACGAAGGGCAAATGGATGTACCGGGGCGAGTGGTCGCATGGCTTCAAGGGCCGCTACGGCGTGCGCCAGAGCCTCACCAGCCCTGCCCGCTACGAGGGCACCTGGAGCAACGGGCTGCAGGACGGTTACGGCGTCGAGACCTACGGGGACGGAGGTGAGTGGGTGAGCTGAGGAGCGGCCGCTAGGGGGCGCCCGGGGCCGGCGCACATTGGGGCGTGCAAAGCGCTGCTCTTCCACACGGGCGTGTGCAACCGCGGGGCTCAAGAGTGTGAAGGTGCGCTCAGTTCAGCAGGTAATGCGTTTGGTTTCTCTTGCTTTCAGTTTTATTTTATTTTATTTTTTTAGGGGGAAAAAAAGTCTCATCTGCTACGAATAAGCGCATTCAAATGAATTCTTGGAGACCTGTAGTTCTCAAAGAAATTTTGTATACACTCCCTGCTGGAATAAACTTTTGTCAATCGATAAGGCAGTTGCGAAGAAATACAAACGGGCTCCAACCATAGCAAAGCCGGGGATTTAATAACAGTTCTGAGCATCATTCACAGATCTTTTACACTTTGGTAGAGGTATTCTGCCATCATTTTACTTTTTTCCCTGTGGTTAAACTATTGAGAGTCAAAAATATTAGCTTGACACCTAGAAATTTAGCAGGAATTTCCAAGGTACTTTATCCCACTTTCTCCCTGAGCAGTATTTCCATTAGTAGAACTAAATGTGGCTACTCTGATTTCAGTTTGGAATTTCACTTAAGTCATCCTCAGGAACACTTGCCAAAGAATTTCTGAGTTATTAAGCTGCACTGTAAGTGCAAAATTTTCTTACCGTTAATTACGAAAGTTGGTATCGTTGCTCTTAATTTTCCTTAGGGGAAATTGTGAGAAATTTATTGCTCTGGCTATTATTGATAGAATATTGATAACACAAGCCATACTTTGACAGTCATATTGATTTCAATAAAAATAGCTTTGATGTAGAGTCCACACAACCAGCCAACTTTTTTAGGATGAGATAACACACAGCAGAGCTGTCAACTATACATTTACCTTTAGTGTAAGTACTGAAAAATTTGTAGCGAGCACACCATCAACAATACCATTTCAATAAAAATATAAAAGTAAGGGTAAAAGAAATGGAAGCCATTGGAGCCAATCAGAGTTAAAATAAATTATAAAAAGGAATTTAATGCCTGATATTTTTAGCCGATCAACTATCAACATTAGTTGATCAGCTAGAAATCTACTATCCTGTTGGAGTTAAGCTTCAATAGGCTTGCCTTAATATGGTATATTACAATATCCTGATTGTATTGATTCACTGTTTCTGCTATGCTGAAAGAAGTAATATGGGTTTTATAAGTACGTTGATGGCACCTGAGTGTAAAATTTCAGCTGATCTCACTGAACGGTTCCATGTAGATACTGAAGATCTAGAAATATAAAGTAGGTTACAGTTCTTTTCTCACTACATGTCAGGGTGTGCAGGGCTCTGTTATTCAGGTCTGAAATCAAATGGGATCAGAATTTTTTTCATACAGATGAAGTTGTGAATGCATGAGATTTTTTCAGGTATTTAGTGTAATAGGAGATAATTGAAATCAGTCTATATGGTTAACATCTGGAATTAAGGAGGGTTTAATTAGGAATCTTTAGGACTGTCTCTTGTTTTTTTCCCCCTTTTTCTATTAAATGACATTTAACAGGGAGAATAGAAATATATCTGCAATAATCTCTTTGTTATTTATCAGTGGTTTCAATACTACTTTCTTTAAATGAACAGGACATCATTTTATATGGAATTAATTAATTAATTAGAAATATTAATAAAAATGTTAGAGTGCAATTCTCTGGTCACTTGCTTCCCCATCGCGGAAAAGCACTGGATTGTGAGTCGTCGTTTCCCCCCCCCCCCCCTCCCCCAGATAAGGCTATATCTAGGTAGAAAAGTAAAAGTCTCACCTTCACACCTGTCTCTTTATGGTTTAAAAGGAGCAGTCATGACCATTAAGCAGTGGATACGATGAAGGAACTTGCAACACAGAAAGTTGTAAATACTTTAAATGCTGTACTTGCCCCCAAACCTGCTAAAAATTTGAAATGATAGGAAGACACAGGGAGCACAGAATGTGATCAGAACACACAATGTACAGTATCAATCCCTTTCCCACGATAGTTTTCATCCAGCAGGACATAGACAATATCAGTGAAAAGGATTACAGTTCTGATCTTCATTTACACATACAGAATTTAGATATAGGATTGTGCTTTAATGTTCTCTTGGATATCATGAATTAATTCCTTGTTAAAATGTGTATAAACTATGATAAGCCCAGATAAAAAAATTGTCATATGTTTTGTCCTGTTAAGACGGCCATGGATGTAAAATATTTTCTCTGTAGGCTTACTTGTAGTGAATCTTGCATGTTTTTATTATAAAAATTCTTTTAAAACAATTATTTTATATTAGGTATATGACAAAAACAATATTCTTGGGCATGATGATATCCAGTCCTAATCCTAGGACTTTATTTTAGAAGAAAAAATGTTTGCAATTAATATTTCAATTTCTTCTGACTTCAAAGTGAATATAAGGATATCAAACAAGCATCTTCAGGCGAGAGTACATCTTGTTCAGATAATACTTTCAACGACACTCTCTATTTGTGTCATTTGAACACTAGTCACTGTTTGGCTTGTTTCCAGTGACAACATTTATCGGAGGCTATAGAACCATTCTTGACATATTCTAACCTAAAGATATTTTACTAGTGTTGTGTGTTACAAGTATTAATCTCACAGTCATCTCACACTTAAGAAAAGACAAAATAAAAATACATATGTAAATAAAATATAGCAATATTTATTTTGTGTAGGCAATTAATATTGCATAAATAATGTACAATAAATGTTCTTTGCAGATTATTTCACAATACTTTATATCCAAATCTATTTAGAGAAAAAACGTATTTTTAAAGCTATCTTATTCTGTCTTGGCACTCTGTACAGAACTGTGTGATGACCAAATGCTATGCAACTTCTTACTCAGATGGAAGACCCATTTATAGCTTAACAGCTCAGTTCTCTGAGTGTTTGCTGGTACATAACTATCCAGATGGTACTTTTTGTGAGTGTGTACATATGTAGTGATCTTCTTACAGCATTTACTTAAGAGCCATTGCAGCTCATTCTTTTATTTCATTCATATCCAAGGATCAATGCTTCTGATTTTGAAGACCCAGAAAATATAGATATATACATATTTTTCAGCCATGATCCCAGTGTTTATAGCTATGTATCTTGTAAACATGATTTCAAATTAAGTCATATTCAATATATCCTGTAATTAATAAGCTGTCCTTTAAAATGTTTTAAGATTTTAAAAAACAGGTTGAATGTTCATATCTCACAGCCCTACTCTAGTTTCTTAAGACATTCTTAATATATTTCACGAGGCTTGTTTCAAGTAAATGGGCAGAGAATTATAACTTCTTACTTTAAAAGTTCATTTTCCAGTTATATTGATTGATTGATTATATGTCATCAAGTTGTTTTTAACTCTTAATGGCCACATATATTTTTTCCATGACACTTTATCCCCAACCTGGTCCTTCAGGTCTTCCAATGGTACATCCATTGTCCCTGTAATTGTGTCCATCTCCTTTGCTGCTAGTAATTTCTTTTTCCTTCTAACTTTCCCAGCATTGTAGACTTTTTGATAGCACTGTCACTATATATTACTTTATACAAAATCTTACAAAGCAATATAATTTACAGTATTGAATTACCAAGTATTTTTATATAGCAATAGCACTTAGATTTATATACAGCTTTAGAGTGATTTTCAGCCCTCTCTAAGTGGTTTACAAAGTCAGCATATTGCCCCTAAACAATCTGGGTCCTCATTTACCAACATTGGAAGAATGGAAGGCTGAGTCAAACTTGAGCCAGTGAGATTCAAACTGCCAAACTACTGGGCAGTTGGTAGTCAGCAGAAGTAGCCTGCAGTACTGCATTTTAACCACTGTGACACCACGGCTCTTATATATAGGAGTTTTTTTATTATTGTGTGCTGTTAAATATGAGATTCAGCTGTGGGAAATGTTTAGTAGAAAGTATAAATTATTATTTTCAGTGCTGCCTATGGATAATAACTTTATCTAAGTCATTCATCAAAAAGTACAATGAACAACATTTCAACAATGTCAATATTAACTGTAAAAACTACTAAAAAATCCAGATGGTAAAATGTATGCTTAAATTCCTTAAAATTATTTCTATAGGTTCATCCTTGTGATTGTCTACAGGTGCTGTCTTAAAATACTTGTGTTGAAAAATACAAAAGTTGAATCTTGTGGATTGCTGATGAATACATTTGAATAAAAGTTTCAAATATTTATTTATTTCATTCATTATTTTTCTTTGACAAGGTACATACCAGGGACAATGGACAGGAGGGATGAGACACGGCTATGGTATGCGGCAAAGTGTTCCTTATGGCATGGCAACTGTGATCCGTTCACCCCTCCGGACATCTCTAGCTTCACTCCGTAGCGAGCAGAGCAATGGCACTGTTCTACATGATATCACTGCAGACAGTCCTGCTGGAACTAGAGGAGGGTTTGTGTTGAATTTTCACAGTGATCCCGATAGTGTTGGTAGTAAGAAAAAAGGCCTATTCAGAAGAGGATCTCTTCTTGGTAGTATAAAACTTAGAAAATCTGAATCAAAATCATCAATATCTAGCAAACGTAGCTCTGTCAGGAGTGATGCTGCCATGAGCAGGATTAGTTCTAGTGATGCCAATTCTACCATTAGTTTTGGAGATATGGACTGTGATTATTCTCCAGTAGAAGACCATGTTGATGCTACCACCACAGAAACCTATATGGGTGAATGGAAGAATGACAAGCGTAATGGCTTTGGTATTAGTGAGCGTTCAAATGGTATGAAATATGAAGGCGAGTGGCTAAACAACAAGAGACATGGGTATGGATGTACTATGCTTCCTGATGGCACCAAGGAAGAGGGAAAGTATAAAAACAATGTTTTGGTCCGTGGAATAAGGAAGCAGTTTATACCAATAAGGAACACAAAAACTAAAGAAAAAGTGGAAAGAGCACTTGAAGGTGCCCAGCGTGCAGCTGCCATGGCTAGAACTAAAGTGGAAATTGCAACCTCCAGGTAGGTTCATTCTTGGCTTTAATAACACAGACTAGAAAGATCTCGATAGCTAGGAATGATAGCTTATGCTTTTTTGCGTGGAACTTATTTGGTTCAATCAAATTGGATATCAAAGTAAAAAAGAAGGGGTCAAAATGTTTAAGCTGTACAATCATGCTGAAATGAGGTTGCACAATATTGACAGCATTGATTGTTGACACTCTAGAATGTATAAATCTATTTAGAAACTAAGCCATGTGTATTTTTCCCTTGCACTGGTTCTTGGCACAATTTCTTTTTCTGACTAAACCTGCAATTGACACTGAAGATAAAGGGCGTATCTGCTAACTTGATTAAAGGCTTTTTCTCTTGAGCATTCTCTTAAGCTTCCCTAGCCTGTGTTCTTTGAAGGATTCTGAAGATTGATGTGAATTAGATTGATTTTAGGAATTATGTGGGATGTACTAGTTATGTGAGATCAGAATACATTTTTTTTTTGACAATCATGTAATTTGTCATGTGAGCATCTTGGATACTTAAGTAAAGCATGACATTTATTTTTAATTTTATACTTTTGTTAGCAGCTGTGGCAATAATTGTGCTGAAAGTAGGATACAAAGGCAAATGCAAAGATTTAAATTCAGATTCTTGGTCTTTTGGCTAAGATCAAGTGTAGTGTAGATTTAATCACAATTAGGGCCCTCAAAATCAGTGGAATGGCTAGTCTTTTTAAAGCTTTTTGAGTATTTTCTGGTAGCTCATATTGGTCAAGTCACAGTTTTTTAATACCGATAATTGCTACTTTGATGTGGTAAATGTGTTTTTTCCTCAATATCTTCTCTTGCAGGGTAACTTTTGTATTATGTTAACATGAATTAAAACCTATTAATGGGAAGATAAACCTTTCAAACAGGTTTAGGAAATTGTGACTTGTTCAGATGTATTTGGGGAGTTATACAGAAAAGTCAGGAAAATCAGTATTGGCAGTCGTGGCAAAAAACATTCTGCAGTATAGATTGTAAGGATATGCTTATGGTACCTATGTAAAATGATTTTGTGCAACTTACCCCTGACATTTAGATTAAATAAACTCCATTGGCTATATTTTTTAAGTGTGGCTTCACTATATATGTAGAAGGTTTGAATCAGGAAGATTCCTATTTAAATGACAGGATTTAGCACAGGTATAAGTAAATTTAACTTGTAAAAATCAACTTTAAATTTGCATCTAGAGATTGAATGTACATGATTATATAAATACTGTTGCACGATAGCTTGATTTTATAAATAAGTGCTTGGTAACATTACTTGCTCACACAGTACTGCATAGATAGAGGAACCTTCATACAGTTTCATGTTGTGTACCTTTCCCGGACTAGAAGGCTCTTCACTCAGTCACTCATTCTTTGGTCATCTCCTGAATGGATTACTGTAATGAATTCTACATGGGGCTGTCCTTGAAGAACATCAAGAAGCTTTAGTTGATCCAGAATGCACAGCATTGGCAATTTTGATGTGTTTTGCTTTGATCATGTTACACCTTCTGTTGCATAAGTTCCACTGACTTCAAGTTTTTTCCAGATGCAATTCAAGATGCTAATTATTACTTGCATGGTGTGGGATCAAGGTGTTTGAGGGATTGCCTTAATCCAGTTTTTTCTACCTGTGCCATTACATTGGGTCAGGATCAAGCCCATGCTAGGATGTGGTATGTTGTATTACTCAGCTAGGAATGGTGTTTCCTGTTAATTTAGCCAGGTATTTATATTGTATTTTAACTCTTGTTAGCCACCAGGAATTGCATATAAATTTATATAAAAAATAAAGTTAAAATTAATTAATTAATTAAATATAAATAACTAATGTGTTCAAGAATCATGTTATCTTTATTAGATGACAGATAAATCGTGCACCCTTTTTTCTTGACCAAGTGTAGTGTGGGCTTGTATTTAGAAATTTGTATTTTAAAAAAATACACTTATTTTGTTAATTTTTAAATATTCATAATTATCAGTTGGTATGTGAAAGTCAGTTTCATATGCAATTTGCTAGATCACTTCTAACTTAGAACTATGTTCAAAGCCTAATCTTTTTCAGTCATACTTCCTGGCATCTTAAAAAAAACTAAAAAGGTGTCAAAATGAAACCAGTAGCTTTCCTCTGAAAAGCATGTTTTCATCATGTGAATGATAGTTTGTACTCAGAGAGGCAGGTTTAATTCATCTCTGTAAAGCACAGGTATTACATATGATCTTCAGTCACCAGAAAAATGTGGTCCTAGAGACACTCTGCTCTTTTCTCTTTGTTGGCCAGCTGAGCAGTATGAGCAAACAGTCCTCGGGAATTTGGCTGCTGGACGAGGGAGAGGCAATTTGCTGCCATTCATAGCATAAAATCAAGCACTATATGATCATTTGCCTGGTGGTGATCATATTACTGGTTTCCTGCCATGAATGGCATCAGGATATCAGTACTCTACAGTAGACATTGGAAAGAAAGGAATTGAATTAGATTTCTGTGAAGAAGTGTTATGTCTGAGATGGGATGTATTTGAACATTTACAACTTCTGATAACCAATCTGGTATCTATTATGGCTCTCAGAATTGAAAATACCCCTCCTCACGTTCCAAATGAAAAGATTCTAAGAAATTCCATTTTAAGAAACAGATACAGGTAATCCTCAACTTACAACAGTTCATTTAGTGACCATTCAAAGTTACAATGGCTCTGAAAAAAGTGACTTATGACAATTTTTCATACTTACGACAGTTGCAGTATCCCTATGGTTACATGATCAACATTCAGAAGCTTGGCAACAGGTTCATATTTATGATGGTTGCAGTGTTCTGGGGTCATGTGATCACCTTTTGCAATCTTCTGACAAGCAAAGTCAATGCGGAATCCAGACTGACCTAACAACCATGTTACTAACTGAACAAACGTAATGATTCACTTAACTGTGGCAAGTAAAGTCATAAAATTGGGTGAACTCACTTAACTTCTCATTTTTTCACTTGGCAACATAAATTTTGGGCTCAATTGTGGCCATAACTCGAGGACTATCTGTATTGAGAAACATCGTAAGAAGCAGTAAGTATTAACAAGCTCTATAATGCTACTATATGAAAACCAACAAAAACTTAGTAGAGTATGGGAAAATTTGTGTTGATCTGGGAAAATATACAGGATTGACCTGATTTGAATGTGGATTTAGACTTTGTCAGAAAACCAGTTAGGTTGGCTAGACAGGGAAGTCAATACATTCTGGAAGAAGATTGCAACATACCATTTCCATATCATTCTTAAAAGCTGTGTGTAGGGATCACGCTCAACATGTAGGCAAATATAATAGGTTAAACAGAAATAGAATGCATAAAAATGACTGAGCTCAGTGCAGATTAAACATTGTTGTGTCTGCCCATTGTGAATCTCAGTTTTTTTATATATAATTTCAAGTGAGAAATGAGGAGAGGATGAAAAAGAAATCATTTTTCCCCACTGGATTTTGAACTGGATTTTTAAATGGGCAAACTTAAAGCAGATACATGAATAAGCTCTCCTTTTTTTGACTCCCAGATCAATTTGAATCATTCTTAATGTGGAATATAAAGACAAAAAAGAGTAAATCAACCAGTCAATTTAAAAAGCTATTAAAAAGCAGAAACTAAAAGAGTAGATATAAAATTAATTATGAGATTGTATAAAATTAATTTGAAGGCCACAGTACGACAATAAAAAAAAAGATTAAAACAACATAAGAATTGCACAGTCCTTTGTCTGGTATCAAAGGAACAATAAAATAAACACAAGATGAAATTTGCTTGGGAGCAGATTCTAAAACTGGAATCTAAAACATCTTTTAAGGTTTTGGCTTTCATTCTAAAATGAATCAAGAAAAGACAGTGACTTTTAAATGTAGCAGATCTGCACCATAGTTTGGAATTCCCTTTTGAAAGAAGCGAAGTATTTTCTATTTTTATAGAAGGGGGTTTTTTTTTATCAATTGTCTTCTAACACAGTAGTTTGTACTGCACATGGAAGAAGGGTTTTTCTTTTGTGTCCTAATCACAGTGAATTAGTAACTAAGCAGTGCAGAAGCTGCTAGTTATAGAGGCCATTTGCTAAGACATTTGTCGGTTTCAACACTTCATGCCAAGACCTTTTCTCAAGGAATTTTGGGTGGTCAGCTCTTCACGTACATCTGCTTTTGCCACACAGATCAGCCCCCACATGCCTGCCTTTAAAGTGGATGCTGCAAGTGCTTACTTATATTACTGGCACTGTATTAATAGAGCCTAAATCACACTGAGAGCTATTGTGTATAGATAGCAAACCCAGATTTTCTTTAAAGAAAAGCTTATCTGAAAAAAAGCATATGAAGCAGAAAAGCAAAGGTGGAAAGGGTTTCTTAATTTTCATCTGCCAGTTTTCCACTTTAATTTGGTCCACTCCAGCTTCCCCACAAGTTGTGTACTTGCTGCATAATTACATATGCACATTTGCCTGGTGGGAACAACGCACTCATTCACTGCTAATCTGGCTGCACTAGATAAAGACACACCAGACTTACGTTTATGGTGTGACTAGATATCAATGTTTGGATGTAGGTTAAAGTAGGACTAATGTTTATACTAGCTAGTGAAAGAAGACATGACTGAGAAAATCCAGTCATGATCATAAATTCAGTGGCAATTGGAGATCTGCAGAAACTAGCTTTGTGAGAAAAGAAGGAGGAACCTTCAAGCCTGGTTTATGTGGATTGTACAGTTTCAGTGAAATTAGAAGTGAAGATATAGGTCTTAAAGCAGCTTGGGACACAATATTATGATAGGCCTCTTATATAAATCAGAGGGTACAAGATGATGATGCTTTATTATTGGTATGTTATACCAGCAGTACTTAGAGTAAATTTAATTTATGACAGACCATATAACTGGCTTAAGTGAAGGTGCCCATGCTTTTAAGGAAGCATTCACAAAAATAAAATGAGTCATAGCCATTTCTGTCCTTGTTAGTGGAA